AAAACTATGGAATAATTTAAGTGCGGACATAAAAAATAGTAATAGAACTGATGAGTTTAAACATAAATATAAAGGTATGTGTCAATCAAGATATATGCAAGAACAGGCTTAATGATTAATTAGGTGGAACATTGTGGGTGTGGTGTACATTTTGTAATAATTCTTTAGTATATTACTTGTGTGATGTAAGAATGTTAACACAGTTATATTCTTTTTTAGTATAATATGTGTGTGGGTAGAAGTGAATCATTTAATGCTTGCAAACCAATGATGGTAAGATGATGTCATGGGGTAGGACTGGATAAGTCTGACTTCTTCCTACTCCATTCAAGCATGTACTAGGTATAAGCAAATTGATGTTGGATTATGTGTAAAATTATGTGTGTTGTCATATCAACAGTTTTTACATGCTTGAAAGAATAAATCAAATCAAATCAAATCAAATCAAAATCAAATCAAATCAAAATCAAATCAAAGAACTTTAAAGGTTTTAACTTCATCAGGCTTTAACTTTAAAGGTTTTGACTTCATCAGGCTTTAACTTGAAAGGTTTTAACTGTCTACACGTGAAAACAGCACAGAACACGACAGCCGTCTCAACGCACAGATCTCCTGTATATCTTAGGGGGAATCGCGTAACCCACCTGAAGCATATACAGTATTGTTCAAAATAATAGCAGTACAATGTGACTAACCAGAATAATCCAGGTTTTTAGTATATTTTTTATTGCTACATGGCAAATAAGTTACCAGTAGGTGCAGTAGATTCTCAGAAAGCAAACAAAACCCAGCATTCATTCAAAAAAGGCATGTGCAGAAGAGGTTACAATTTGCCAAAGAACACATCAACTGGCCTAAAGAGAAATGGAGGAACATTTTGTGGACTGATGAGAGTAAAATTGTTCTTTTTGGGTCCAAGGGCCACAGACAGTTTGTGAGATGACCCCCAAACTCTGAATTCAAGCCACAGTACACAGTGAAGACAGTGAAGCATGGTGGTGCAAGCATCATGATATGGGCATGTTTCTCCTACTATGGTGTTGGGCCTATTTATCGCATACCAGGGATCATGGATCAGTTTGCATATGTCAAAATACTTGAAGAGGTCATGTTGCCTTATGCTGAAGAGGACATGCCCTTGAAATGGTTGTTTCAACAAGACAATGACCCCAAACACACTAGTAAACGAGCAAAGTGTTGGTTCCAAACCAACAAAATTAATGTTATGGAGTGGCCAGCCCAATCCCCGGACCTTAATCCAATCGAGAACTTGTGGGGTGATATCAAAAATGCTGTTTCTGAAGCAAAACCAAGAAATGTAAATGAATTGTGGAATGTTGTTAAAGAATCATGGAGTGGAATAACAGCTGAAAGGTGCCACAAGTTGGTTGACTCCATGCCACACATATGTGAAGCAGTTATAAAAAACTGTGGTCATACAACTAAATATTAGTTTAGTGATTCACAGGATTGCTAAATCCTAGAAACAAAAACGTTTGTACAACATAGTTTTGTGTTTGTACAGTCAACGGCAGACACTGCTATTTTTTTGAACACACCCCTTTCAACTAATTGCCCAGTTGCACAGCCTTAAGAGCGTGCATATCATGAATGCTGGGTCTTGTTTGCTTTCTGAGAATCTACTGCACCTACTGGTAACTTGTTTGCCATGTAGCAATAAAAAATATACTAAAAACCTGGATTATTCTGGTTAGTCACATTGTACTGCTATTATTTTGAACAATACTGTACCTACTCTAAGTACGGTGGCTGCAGCGGCTCAACACGGAGCAGTGCGAGGACTGTGACTAATCTGAGAAAAATTTTGAAACATTAGCACAGTGAGGGGCCAGATGTGTTTAAAGGTCCCCATCGCAGACTAGTGGCAGCTGATGATCAATACAGGATAAATGCAACAAGACTCAAAGGTCTGCAAAATATAAAGTGATGCAATGCTGTACACAGACAACTGTTTGTCTAAAACTACTCCAAAATGTTCAAAACAAGGCCGTGCTGTTATTTACAACGGTAAAAAAAGTATTCAGATAACCTATGTAAATAAGTGTCCACATCAGATTATAAAAATACTCCAGCACATTTTAAAGTCCTGCATATAAGTGTTTAATGTCCTGGTCAGTATAATATTATTGGCAGTACATGTAAGCAGACTTCCATAGGTACCACTTTTTTTATAAAATACTTAAGCTGTAATTAATAATTTATTAACATTTATTTACACCATTTACTGATGCTTAATAGATCAGATTTTGGACAACACAACCACGCTGTCAAGAACAGTCTTTGCTAATTATCTGAACAATGTGCAAAAATACAAAATGCTTTTCAGTACACGATATACAATCAAGAAGTCAGATGACTTCTCATCTCTGCAGCAGCAATTTATTTATCATTGCAGGAAGACCTTAGGTTTTAATTAATGTCTGTGTCTCTGTTGGAATGTTATTAAATAATGCATAGTTTTACAATTTTCACTTTAATTATTTCTCTGTTTAAACGGCTAAGAAAAAATCTAAGGTGATTCCGTGGTCTGGCCAGTTCATCCTGTCCACCTTGAGTAAAGTCGTAGTTCCTTGCAAATCTCATTCTTTTATTTGTGTGAATAAAAGCATCATGTGAAAGCTTGATGTGTCCCAGAGTGTCCCAGCTACAGCCCGAACACAGTGGCCTCCCTGTTGCTAAGAGCCTCTAACACACCTAAGATCATTTCTATTGTTTGGAAATGTACGGTGGAGACTTACACGGTCTCTCATTGGTCTGACTTTTGTTTGAGAGGTTTCTCTGCTTTGACAAGAAAAACGTTTTCACTTTGTTTGGCAAGAAAACAAGTTCAAGCATAAATAAGCTTCACCAGCTTCAGTCCAAAAATATCTGACATTCACAAATCCACAGGGTCAAACCTAAGCCAAATATTTCAATTAAAGACCATTTATCAATTCACAAAAGATGTTCTGATACATGATGTCACCACTTTTCTCATTTCCGCTCACTGCTATACTCTGGCTACTCTCAGGTCAGTATACGTCCATTAAAGATGTGATGGTGAGAGATTTCGAGAGCTCTGTGACGCTGGTGGGTCGCCACGCGTTAAAAGCAACCGTGATGTTTCTAGAGACCATCAGGAAGCCGTTGGAGCTGAACTGTCCAGGGATGTTTCCCACGTCGAGCCAGACAAAAGGAGCGACGGAGGCAGAGTGGAGGGTAACAGTGTAGCCGCTCTTATCCTCCTGCACCTTGGCCTGCAGGGACACATGCTCTGTCGGTCAAGTTAACATGTCTGCCTCCTACGATTGCTCACTTAAACCAATCAGTAATATCTTTGGTAGCTTTTATAAACTCATGAGCATTCTGAATCTTGTTTCATAACAGTGTAAAATAAATCAAACACTAACACTTACTGTAATGTTTGGTCTCTGGAGTCCCTGAGCATCTTTGGGTGAGCAGAGGAAGTGGTGGTTGGTGGGGCCCTGCTGGCTGCTGCTGGGGTCCTCCAGGTGGAAGGTGAGCAGACAGGTGAGGCGGGTGCAGCGCCCACATCCTGCCAGCACGGTGGCGACAGGCTCTTTAAAAACGGCCACAGCGCTGCCTCCGTGAACCAAGACCAGGTCGGATTTCAACGTGCACACAGGGTCCAGTTCAGTCCAGGTGTACACGGTCACCTGATCAACAAATCAGTCGACCTGTTTGTGCTGATGTATCAGGGCAATATCAAACAATGACCACACATTTAAATAGAAATTAAAAACTTGCTAGTTGATGCTGCAGATTACAGAAACAATAGCTGTGACAGTGTGTGCATGAGGCTGCTGTTAACATTGACTTTGGAATAACTGTTGTTCTCAGCTACAGTTGAACTTTTTGGTATGCAGTGTTATACTTAGGATTAACTTTATCATTAATATAGTAATAGTAAATGTATAGTCAAATACATAATATAGTAACAGAGGCTTGAGGTCTCTGTCACCATTAATTTTACCCTCTGTAACACTCATGAGAGAGAAGTGGCAGCTACTATTATGAATGAACGAGTGACCGGTATAATTACATCCGGGTTCATCGGTGGCAAGGAGGCCGCATAGTAACAACAAATTTCTCTGACCAATTTCTAGTCTGCAGTGTTTACACGTCACCGTTTGATATCTCCTCAGGTCACTTGGAACATCAATGGACGCGATACCAAAAACAGCAGCAGGTACCAGATACTATCCCCAACATTTGACTGATGGAAAAATAATTAAGACGAGTCGAGATGAGGCGGTACCGGGTGGTGGAAAAGGGGGCTTTAGCTGTTTGTTGAGGAGGGATGCGGCTCCATTTTTCATGACATCATAGCTTCTTTTTTTTTTTTTTTTAGGTGTACATGCACATGCTGAGAGTCATTTGGATAAAAGCACCTGCAACATTTAGCATAAAAATCATACCACAGCTCTGAGCTTCAGGTCATGATTCAGGTCAGAGATGGCGTAGATGAGCAGCGTGCCGTCGTCCTCAAACCCGACAGGCAGGACGGCCGAAAAAAAGTCCTTTGCAAAATAATGCAGCATTTTCCACTTCCCACCAAACTCTGTACACACAGAGACCAAAAGAAAATGACAATGATTATTTTGCAAAACCCAGGTAATAATAAATGCAGTCATTACACAAACACAAAGGCTTGTCAGCGCCAAATCTCCGTCCATTCACTCACCAATTGATGACCAGGACGGCGCCTGCCAAATATCATTGAGCTGCCAGTAGAGAGCCCCCATAGTGTGACCTTTGCCCTCAATAATCTCACTCTGGCTTCGCCGATAAAACTCTGTCTGAGTCTTCACACACTGAGCCTGCATGACCTGGACAGGAAATATGTTCATGACAACATGCAAGTACTCAGCCAAAGTACATAAAAGATTCAACAGGACTGAATGTTCAAACCCTAACTGATCCAAACCACAAGGTGCAGTTGTTATACATAATATGAATTTTGTTGGAAACGTCACCTGTATGAACACAATATATCAACAAACTTCTATGAGATTATGTGCAAAGCTAAAAAAAACAAAACAAAATCATTGTGTATTTAACCTGTGAAAGACACAAGTTGGGGGTGGTTTGCATATGTTGTACCTGAGTGATGTAGAGAGTGTCTGCAAATCTCTTCTGTGGCTCTGTGGAGTTTGGCAGATTGAAGTGTAAAGCAGCCTGCAGTAGCATCTCCTGGTTCCCACCTGCATGGTGCTGACGATGGGCAGCAAAATCACTGTTGTAGCTCCAGTCTTCTGCCAAGGAAACCTGATACATCACAAAACCAGACAGGAAAAAGTCTTTATAGTTCTGTAAAAAAAGAGATAAGGGCCTCTAGTGAGCTCTGAAGATTTGATAGATCAAATTATCTCCTGACTTTCACTCTAAACAAGTTTAAAGGTAGCCTATCAGCAACTGTTTCCATTTTAAAGTTCATTTTATAACGTAAGAGCCTTATCTTTATTTTATTCTTCCCAGCCTTCTTCTCTTTATCTCTTCCTGTTTTCACATCACTGCTTTTATACTGTACTATCCAATATGCAGTGTTTTTGGCAGTCTATGCCACACAGGCTGTGATAAGGTATTTCAAGGAATGCCATTGTAAATTTTATTAATAATAGAAGTAGTACTAGCTGGAGTTAGTAGTACTTGTAAAAAAAAAAGTGTTTATCTGTAGACATACAGCACAACGGAGTCACAATCCTTAAATGCTTGAAACTCTCCAATAAATAATTAAGATGTCAAAAGTAAATAAAAATACTACTAATAGGTGTATTCATTCACCGGCTGCAGAGTGGAGAAGGAAGGCCAGGACTGAAAGCCATATTCAGAGGCAAAGCGCGCTCGCGGGAAAGTCCTCCAATCCCAGCAGTCCAGGGTGTAGCTGTAGTAATGCGTGTCCCCGTAGTGAGTGTCGTAAGGGTTCGCCGCCACCCATCCTTCCTGCTCCGATTCAGCACCATTTGTTGGACTGGAGACGAGAAACGGCCGACTCTCGTCCTCCTTCAGAAAATATTAGGGTTTTGTTTCTGCTGACTTTTAATGTGATTAGAAAAGAAAGAGCACTGAACAAATGATTACACTCATCGGTAATCTGGAACATTTTAAACAAATCCTGGCAGCCTTTTGCCCAGTGTGCCACGACTGCTCACTCACCTCTTGCACAATTGTCCTTATGTTGTTCACATACAGTGTCACATAGTCTTTAATGTAGGTAGGCCTCTGGAAAGCTGGGATACTGAACCAGTCTGTAGCCAGAGCAGCCTCGTTTTCATTGTTCCCGCTCCAAACAATTATAGAGGGGTGAGACTTGAGGCGCCAAACCTGGTGGATGGAAACAAGACAAAAAACTATATATTTAACTGCACAGGGGAAAATGTTTAAATATTTTTAGAAGAAACACTGTATGAATAGAACCTTTCCGTGTATCTATAATACAGTATCCAGATTTGACCATTTTTGAGCCATTAAAACTGTATTAAATGATGCACCACTCACCTGTTGGATGACCTCTTCTCTTACTGTCTGTATGAAGTTGTCCTCAGTGGGATACATAGCACAGGCGAACATGAAGTCCTGCCAAACCTAAAGAAACATATTCAAACACTTTGAGCAATATGTTCATGGGTCATTATGGTGTCATGTTCTCAAAAATCATACAGAAATACAGTGATCTGTCCTAAGATGGTCCAGCACTATTTCAGTAACGGTACACAATAGTGATGCTGAGAGCAATCTAGCTACATTGATATTGTTACTTTAATTGTAACTTATTTTTTTTGCATCTGTGGTATTAATAACATTGTCAGTGTTTACCATGATCCCTAGCTCATCACAGATGCTGTAAAAAACATCCTGTTCATACACCCCTCCTCCCCAGACCCTGAGGGCATTCATATTGGCATCCACTGCCGACTGCAACAAGTTCTTTAAGCTGCAGAAAAAACAGAAGGCATGTACTGTCATTCGTACTGTATTCATAACTGATCAAACTCAATCTTGGAAACATGGTCAAAACTCTAGGTCTTCCGATTTTATCCTATGACTCCAAGTCAGAAACATATTGGTTGAAAGACACAAGGAGACCAAGGAGAAGAAATGTCTCCCGGTATATTGTTATGGTTTGAGATTAGTATTCCCCTTAACAGACAGGACTGCACTCACACTGCAGGGGTGACCTGGTCCTGGAAGGAGTGGGCTGGGATCCAGTTGGAACCCTTGAGGAATATCGGTTTCCCGTTGATACGAAAATAAAAGCTCAGGCCAGGAGACCCAACGACTGGCTCCTGAACAAGCTCCACTGTGCGAAAATACACCTGCGGGATAGATTTCATCAGCAAATTACCTCATAGTGACTGAAACAAAAAGGTGTTAGTTAATTCATGTTCAGGTCTGTTTCTGTGCTGGCAGGTGGTGACCTCTGACCTTAGACTCAGTATTCAGGATTACAATTCTATTCTGAAAACCTCTGACAGATAGCAGGTAAAAGGGTTGGTCACCATGTCCGTTGGGCCACCACAGTCTCACCTGGCTGCTCTGGAAGTAGAAGAAAAACCACTTCTAAGTAACATATTGTCAACCCTTTCAAAACTTTACTTCACTGGTACTTTTCCGGCAGGCAGCCGATTGACACAGATGAAAATTCCTGTCCAACTTCAAACTGAAAACCTACCAACAGTTTAATCGGACTGTGTCGAGTACCGTGTTTATATGCAAGATAAAGGTGCTCTTGGTCTTTCCAGAGAGAAACTGTGTCTGGAAAGTTTGTTCGGAGTCCAGCTCGGGTACGGAGATTGTGACTTCACCATTTATTGTCTGAACCACATCAACAAGAAGTTCCACCTGGATATCCCACTGAGATAGGCTGGAATCTAAATAGATAAACGGATTGCATAAGCAAAAAGAGGGAGAGATAAAAAACAATTAATTGCTCCACACAGTAAACTGAGGGGGCAAAAGCCAGTCATGAAAACAAAAGATGAAATAACATGATTTATTCTGGAAAAATGACTCATTTGTACTTATTTTTAGTTTTTTAAGTAAGAGAACCTATTTATTTTTATTTGTATACAAGACTAGGAAGTCCCCTCCTCAGAAAACAGAAGGAAGTATCAGATGGAAATTTTTATTTTTATAGGAACTAGATGGAGTTTCAGGGGTTTAACCTCTGTCTCCTGAACAGGACAGCACACAACAACCAAATCAAAGTATATTATTTCAAGGAAACTCTCACTTCAAGAAACCATAAATATGTTGAGTTATTGCATCTTCACAACTACACAACAATTAGCTATTTTGAGTTTTTGACACTTATCTTTGGCTGTTTATCTGAGAACTAGTTCTTTCATTATTGTATTTGTAATTAGTAAACGTCTCTTATAAAGCACTCGGTGGTACATACTGTATAAAGGAACATAAGAAATCTGGATGAGCTGCAGGACATCAAACGCCTCCAGTCGAACGTCCTTCCACAGTCCCATCGTGGGGAATGAAGGACCCCAGTCCCAACTAAAGGAACTTTGCTCCTGCACCAAAACCGAACTAGTGAATACTTAGATGTCCAACTTAAAGGTATGGTTTTTGACTCAGACTGTTCAACTTTCAGACTTCTAAAGGAGAGGCAAAGCTTTGCAGGATGGACTCACTTTCCTTATGAAATTGACATGACATTCCCCTCTCTGGACATCTGGAGGACATTCAGGAGGAACTTTATAGGCAGAATGAGCTTTCCTCCGCTCAGACGCATAAAGAACCGGAGACGACAGACTGACTTTGAGTATGTTATCCCCGTCCGTCAGCAAGTCTCCTACTGAGAAATCCTACACACCAAAAATAATAAAAGACAGCAAATAAATGGTGCGCTAGTGTAGAAAAAATGTATTCTATGCACTGTGAACTGTTCATGTTATGCTTAACTTACATATCTACGAAACATGTTGTCTGTCTCCCCGACAAGGATTCCATTGAGCCAGACTGATGCAACAGTGTCCACACCATCAAAGACAAGATGCACCTTCTGTTTGGTTCTGTTACCACACACACAGGTGAGTCAGTGACACAATACAAAAAAATACCTTAAAAACTATATAAACATATGCATATACTGACCTCAGCTGGGCAGACACAGTAAACACGTTGACATATGTCCAGTTGTACAAAGCAATCCAGCCATAAGACACATCATTGAACCTGAAATATGGGTCCTAAATGAAAAGAGTAACAGAGTTTAGCTGGTTGTGATGACATCTGATTTTATTTAACTGCAATCCTCTCTCAGTTTATGGTTGTAAAATGTGCTCAAAGATTAATGTGTTTTTTATTGTAGAACGTGCTGACATTTTTATGCCAAAAAGGTCAAAAGGTCAAGTCAGAATTAAAGAAATATCGAAGGCTTGAGGTTTTGTTGTCACGATTTTCCCCAGAAAAGCCTGGGTGAGATTCGCTTATTAAAACCGAGTATTTAAAATATGAGAAAATTGCACAACAAAAGGATTCTATCGACATCGATCTAAACATCAAGATCTCGCCATATCCTCAACTGGGCCCTACCTGGATGTATCCCTGTTGCTGCAGAGCTGAATGAACACATCCAGGGACCTCTGCAGCCAGACACAGCGAACCGTTGGAGTTTGACAGACTCCATTTACCGCTCAGACTTTGCTTCTCCGTTAGTGAAGAAAAACAGAATAAAACTTCAAAAAACAAACACAACACAATAGCAAAAACACAAATAAATACGTTTCCACACGCAGTCATAGTTTGTGGTGCGTTGCAGACATGGTTAAGTACACGAAATCTTCTTCAAAAGCATATTGTCAGCGTTTCTTCGTGCGTTTTCTCACTAAACCTCCTTTTCCTTGTCATGTGATTCGCCTTAAGTCACGTGATCAGAACACGGAAATGACTCGCACCCCTTAGCACGAATAACTTTGTCAACATGTCACAATTTTACTACTAAAAATCTTAAATTTTACTTTTAAATACAAGTCTGGCTAGCTGCAACTGTAGCCTATAAAAAAATATGTAAAAAGATTTTTTTTTAAATGTGCCGCATTCTAGTAAAGCGCCATTTGTAAAGGGTTAAACTTATACTTACTGGCTTTTTAGGTTCGTAAATTATGTTTTAACATAGGGCATTTTAAAAATAAAAGATCATTTAAGGATTGTGAAAACAACGGGTTTATAATAAGTACTTAACGGATTTATTTTCTGATGATTAACAGCTTAATTATGAAGCATTAAGAGCAACTCTTGGGTTGCCAGATTGTGGACATTCCCTCCCCGCATGTCACTTGATTTGATTTGATTTATTCTTTCAAACATGCAGAACAAACGACATCAACACACATAATTATACAAATCCAACCAATGCTGATTCAGAATCAGTTTGCTTATAACTAGTACATGTTTGAATGGAGTAGGAAGAAGTCAGACTTATCCAGTCCTACCCCAGAACATCATCTTATACAAAAAATTTCATGCATCATTGGCTGCAAGCAGTATCTCTACATAGGTAATTCTCTTCTTCACAAGACAAGTAATACACAGAAAATTTAAAAGTGTTTCCTTCCTGCATTCTTGATTAAATCTCTTATTCTTGCATGTATCTAGAATGACACATACATTTATATTTAAACTCCTCGATTCTAGTACTGTTTTTCATGTCCACACTTAAATTATTCCATAATTTGACCCCACTTATAGAAATACAAAATCTTTTTTTGGTCGAACGTATACCATGAACTTTTAGATTCAACTGACCCCTTAAATTATAACCCCCTTCTCTTTCATCAAATAACTTTTGGATTCCACCAGGTAATAAGTCGTTCCTGGCTTTATACATAAACACAGC